CTCTCTCTCTCTCTCTCTCTCAAAATAAACTTAAAACAATTGTTTTAAAGATTACTCAGGATAGGGGCACCTGGGTGGCTCAGTTGGTTAAGTGTCTGACTTCAGCTCAGGTCATGATCTCATAGTTCATGAGTTCGAGCCCTGCATCGGGCTCTATGTTGTCAACGCAGAGCCTGCTTCAGACCCTCTGTCCCCCTCTCTCTTTGCCCCTCCCCGACTTGTGCTTGCTCGCTCGCTGTCTCTCTCTCTCAAAAATAAATAAACATTTAAAAAAAGATTATTGGGGAGATTAAATGAAACGTAAAACACTTAAAATAGTGCCTGGCACACAGTAAAGCCCCAATAAACATTAATTGTTATTTTTATTTGACATTATATCACATATTTATTCATTTACTATTTCATTCCTCTTCTAGAATATAAGCTTTAGGAAAGCAGGAATGTTGTTTTGGTTTTTCTTGTTTGGTTGGTTTTTATTAAGACAATGTTAACACACAGAAGGCACTTAGTAAATAGTTGTGGAATGAATAAAAAAATGAACAGTGAATAAGATTTTATTTGAAGCAGAATTTCACCTGTTATTATTTTAAAATTTGAAACTTACATTAAGAAGGAAGAGAAAGGAAAAGGAGAGAAAGGAAAATGATTTTAAGAGTTATTAAAAGAAAAAACAATTCTAAAGAGGGCATGATGGAAGTTTAAGATTCTAATACAATTACTGGCAAAAATGGAGTCACGTTCTTATTCCCTTAAGACAATTTAGCTCTAAATGCCTCATAAGGGCTCTCTTGAGAATCTAAACTATCAATATGGCCAATTCAAAACTGTGTGTGAGGGCTATCTCCACTCCCTTATTTAACTCTGCACTGCACGGAGAAGAAAGGAAAAAGGATGAAGAAAAGGTTTCATAATATGCTAGTCTAACAAGCTGTTCCTTGAAAAAAGGTTCCTTGGTGAGATAGATGAGAACCCTGCAAACTGTATCCTTTTGGGGAACCTCACCATGAACAGGTACGCTCAGAAGTTTTTGCAATAATCTAAGTCCACAGAACTTAGCAACTTAGCGCCTCCAAAATCACTTGCTCATGGAACACTTATCCCTCAAAAATGATCAACATAAGATGAAAAACACTTTGAGAATTCTATACAGAGTCTATTTTCTGTATGGAATTTTACAAACTAAGCAGAGAGCACTGTAGTCAGTGGAGAGAAGAGGGATGCCAGTGTGAGGATCTCAGGGGGAACATCACAGGAAGGCCTGTGCATGGCTGGCCCTATACATCACAAATCTATACGACTGGCCTCTTCTCTGAGCATTTCCGTACACATTCATTACCTTTGCTGTAGCCAAACTGTGTTGTGAGGTACTCCTGGAAGTTCTGACTGTACTCATGCTACTAAACCAAAATTAGGCACTGGAGAAACGATTTAATAGGGGTTAGTTCCAACCCAGTACTTGGGGCCCATTTCCTTTTTTTAAAAAGCCAGTCTCAGATTTTAGAGCATTGCTTAAGGATACGTACTATTCTAGGTCCCAGGTAACAACACCAGCTTGTTGTAACACCAAAGATTTAGATGTGAGGCTTTGTAGCCATAAGTAAATGTTACTTATATCTTAACCTGCTGAGTTCATACCTAGAGTCCCAAGGTCAGCAAAAGGATCCAGAGTCTGCGGTTTGTTTTGATGCGTGGGCGTGCCATGCGAGGATCCTGTTGGGCTGGTGGCAGCTGACTTGCTTCCCATTCCAAAGCTTCCTGAAAAGGAAATAAAATCATTGAAAATGAGTTAGTTGTCGGAGGCTGAATTCTGGAATTCAGAAATCCAGGGCTACTGCTCATTTTACCTCTTAGGGGAAATTAGGACAGGGTTTGCAAAGATGTTACAAGTTGCTAGTGAGTAGGAGCAGGGACAGGGAACAGAGGAGGCATATGTCATTTCCTAGCCATCCCTGCAAACTACTACATCCAATGTTTACCTCTCATCTCACCTGACTCCATTCTTTCCTCTGGGATTTGGAGTCAGGCCTGGCTCTGAATTCCACTTCCTAGCTGAGTAACTTTTGGCATGTTGCTTAACTTCTCTGAGCTTCAACATTTTCTCCTTGGTTAAATAAAGAAATAGCAACCGCTTCAAAAAGTTGCTGTGATAAGCATATAGTGTGTGTGTGTGTGTGTGTGTGTGTGTTAACCCGCACAGCATTGGAAATGCAATCACATGAAGATGGCTCTCAAGAAATACCATACTAGCCATGAGAAAGAGAATTTATTTATTACAGACAAATTCAGCCCTAAAACAAACCTTTTGTTGAGAAAGACTATTCAGGGGCACCTAGGTGACTCAGTTGGTTGAGCGCCGAATTTGGCTCAGGTTATGATCTTGAGGTTCATGGGTTTGAGCCCTGCATCAGGCTCTGTGCTGACAGCTCGGAGCCTGGAACCTGCTTTGGATTCTGTGTCTCCCTCTCTCCCTGCCCCTCCCCCACTCATGCTCTGTCTCTGTCTCTGTCTCTCTCTCTCACTCACTCAAAAATAAAATAAACATAAAAAGTTTTTAAAAAAAGAAAGAAGACTATTCAGATTATTCAGTACCTACTCTATGCCAGAAAATTTCATATGAACTATTTCACTTATACAGGGGTGCCTGGGTGGCTCAGTTGGTTGCGCATCCGATTCTCGATTTTGGCTAGGTCATGATACCAGGATTGTGGGATTGAGCCCCACATTGGGCTCTGCACTGAGCATGGAGCCTGCTTAAGATTCTCTCTCTTTCTCCCTCTGACCCCGAGCCTCTCTCTTTCTCTCTCTTTAAAATAAAAAAAACTGTATATTAGAAAAAACATGTAGCTGTGTGGGACAAGAATTATAAACCCTATTTTACGGATTTAAAAAACAGAGGTTCAGGCTTATAAAAAAAATCCAAGTGTCACTAAGTGGTTGAGTTAGCTGTATACCCAGATTTGTCTAATTCTATTGTCAAGACAGACATTCAGCAAATGAAACTGAGAATAGTTATAAATAACGTATAAAACACACTGTTGTCATGCCATCAAAGGCAGTGTGAAAACCTCCATGAGAATGTGAGTCTTTAGGAAATTACATAGGTGAGCTATATGATACTCAATAAGTACTCATTATAGCCTCAGTGAAGGATTATGCTTTAGCAGTTGGCTAAATACGCACAAAAATAACCTGCTGACTTTTACCTGGTTTGGTATGCCAATCCCAACCTCCCAAAACATCTGGCTGAATGTTCACAGCAGGTGTACTAGACGCTGCAGAAGAAATGGGGAGAAGAGAAAGAATCGTCACAAAATAACTGAGAACCCACTTTTCTGAGTTCACACAGATAAATACTGTCCCTTCCATGAAGCCTGCGTGACCTGCCATGGCCCCACATGATTCATCTCCTTCTGAGCTCTCCAAACATTTTGCAATATTGATATCTTTGGGTCTCCATGTATGGTTACTTACGTGACAGTTGGTAGAACCCATATACTCTTTGTTACTCTTCCTTCTTTGGCTTACCTATATTTTACTTCCATCCACACTTTGAATTATAACTGTGCATATGTCTGTCTCCATTAAATTGTTAGCTCCTTGAAGGCAAGAACTATCTTATTCACCTTTGTGTGTCCCACCTCTACATTTAACACAAAGTCAGTGGCCAATAAGAAAAGATGAAAAGAAACTTAAGCTCAATTTGCCTTAAGCTGGTATTAATAAGTGTAGGAGAGTCATGATCAGCTTAGAACTGAAATTTTGTTTTCTCCTCTGCTGTGAACAAAGAATGATGAGTCAGTCAGAACATGTACTGAGCAACTATTCATCATCCACCATGCTGGTGTCAGAGAGAGTCTACTGTCACTCAAAACAAATTTACTGCAGCTTCAAAAGAAATCATGCTGGCCCCTCTCAAAATTCCAAATGCAGGATTTAAAAGAAATGTTCATCTACAAAGAATCAGGTATATTAGAGGAATACACATTGGCAGAGTAAGTTTTTTCTGAACCTATAAAATCCAAATAAGAAACAAGGTCCCATAAGAAAGAATTTATTTCTTTTTTTTTTTTTTAATTTTTTTTTCAACGTTTTTATTTATTTTTGGGACAGAGAGAGACAGAGCATGAACGGGGGAGGGGCAGAGAGAGAGGGAGCCACAGAATCGGAAACAGGCTCCAGGCTCTGAGCCATCCGCCCAGAGCCCGACGCGGGGCTCGAACTCACGGACCGCGAGATCGGGACCTGGCTGAAGTCGGACGCTTAACCGACTGCGCCACCCAGGCGCCCCAGAAAGAATTTATTTCTAAGGCATCTGTAGGTTCTGTCCATAAAATCAGTGGGTAAAATGCAAACATTAAACTTACATGGCAAATAGTACTAAACACACACACACACACACACACACACACGCACACACACACACACACACCCCACCACCACCAGAGCACCAAAATTAGAACTACCAAGTCTTGTATTTGTCTGTACAAGACTTCTTGTACTTTCCCATCATTAAGTTAAAAAGAACATGTCCTTATCAGCCATAAGAGTTCTTTCCTTTCTATTCCTCTTCTACCATAGTAACCCATGAAAAATGTGATAGAAATCACACAATTTCACTAACACTTGCTATTTAATTTCTTTAACTTCTGATCATAGTCTTATGTTAAACTAGGATGTATAAATAGTTGTTAGAACCCCAACTTTGTTACTAATCAAGCCCACAAATCTTTATGACCATCTACCATATGCAAGGCACCATACAAGGGAACAGAGAACTAAAAGACATTGTCCTCAAGAAATTTAAAATCTGTTGAAGATATAGGAATATACAAATGGAAAGGTAATTCCCTAACACTTTCAATCTCTATTTTGCTTTTAATTATGGTTATTTACTTTCTATTCCACACTATGCCCCAAGTGATTGTTCTCTTCAGAGTAGATGTTCAATAAATATCTGTAGAACTCAAAGGCAGGAAGTATTTCTTGATTTTCAGAAGAGATCAGTGGTACCTTATAGAAGTCAGAGGTGGGCAATTTGACCTCCTAATCTGACATCTGAGTCTGACCTATATGTTATCCTGTATGAAGATAATGCAACTGACCCGCTAACAGTGGAATAATTGTTTTTTCCTGAAAGGATAGTGGAAAATTCCTTTCAGTCTGGCATGACACAGGACAAAACAAGAAGTATAGCAGCAAAACAAAGAGGTGCTAACTGGCTTCGAGTGGGTGATAAACATCTTCTAACCAATTAACAAAAAACAGAGAACTGAATCCAGAATTGTCATGCTGAACTATGAACATCCATACCTATGGGACACAAAAGATAGTATCCTTATGAAAATAATAAGTTCAAAGTATTAAAGTCAGGAAAATACATAACCTTATTAACACTATCACTATGTTTCAAAGAGACTTAGGAAAAAAATGAGTTAATTCATTTTATATTTACATATTATATGGTAAGATAGATAACATCTACTATGTACCAATAATTCTTCTAGGCACTAGTGAAGCATTAATGAACAAAACAAACTAAACTCCTTGCCTTTATGAGCTCATATTCTAGTGGGGAGAGATGGGAAACAAAAAAAGAAACAAAACATGTAAGTAAATTATTGAGGATTTTGGAAGTTTATCAATACAGCAGAAAGGAAAATCTTGAGTCCGGGCACAGGGATGAGTTGTGATATGAAATGGAGCAGTCAGAGCAGACCCCACTGAGAAGGTGCCAGGTGAGAAAGATCAAAGGAGGTGAAGAAGTTCATCATACCAATGCCTGGGGAAGAGGGGACAGCCGGTACAACAGCAAGAGGACAGTATGGCTGGAGACAGTATGGAATGGAGAGGGCAAGAGGGAGGGGATATGGGTCACACCACTCAGGTCAAAAGCACATAGGGCCATAAAGGCCATCTAAGGAGTCTAACTTCCATGCTGAGTGGCATAAAGACGCATTTTCAGCACAGCAATGACATGACTTACATTTTAAATAAGTGATCAAAAACAATAGGTTTAACCTCTACCCCTGCATCTTTCATCCCAAAGTAACCAGCTTCCAATCAGGAGATTCTCTTCATTGGGAACTATTCAAGGGTGAGAGCTGAATTTCTTGTATGTTGTCTGGTGGACCCACTTCAAATAGTTTGAGATTTAAGACCAATTGGAAATCACCCACAACAGTTATTCCTGGAATGAGTTCTCATGTTTAATGAAGTTAGAGTTTGACCAAAGTTGTACAATTCATCTTCTGTTTGCGTTTGCATGGCTTCCAAGAAGTCAAGCTGATGACTAGACTGAATTCACCAGGCGAGCTCCTTCCACAAGATGCCTTCCACAGGACCTCACCCTCCAGGTTGAGGCCAGTACTGTTCCATAGCCTTCAACATCAGGTATAAGCTACAATTCTCTAGCTCAAAGCCATTTGTCCTCCACTTAAAGAGCTCCAGTTTTATTTTTTTTTTTATTTTACTTATTTTATTTTTTTTCAACGTTTTTTATTTATTTTGGGGACAGAGAGAGACAGAGCATGAACGGGGGAGGGGCAGAGAGAGAGGGAGACACAGAATCGGAAACAGGCTCCAGGCTCTGAGCCCTCAGCCCAGAGCCTGATGCGGGGCTCGAACTCACGGACCGCGAGATCGGGACCTGGCTGAAGTCGGACGCTTAACCGACTGCGCCACCCAGGCGCCCCAAAGAGCTCCAGTTTTAATCAGAGTTACCTAAATGATACCCTTTTGCACTTACAAGTAGATATCAGAGAAATATAAAGTGGGCTTCACATGGAATTCAAAATTTTCTAGTGGTCACATCAGAAAAGATTTTAAAAAAACACTGATGGAATTAATTTTAATACATTTTATTTAACCCAATATAGTCAAAATATTATCTTCTGTGATCAATATGAAAATATTAATGATATTTTACATTCTTTTTTTGTACTAAGTTTTGAAACCTGGTGTGTATTTTATACCTAGAGAGCATTTAAAATCAGACTAGCCACATTTCATGTGCTCAAGATATCCCAGAGCTTTTAAAATATTAATGTAACTACTTTATGGGGGAAGGGAAGGGGAAAAAAATAGTTACAAACAAGAGGGAGGGAGGCAAACCATAAGAGACTCTTAAATACAGAGAACAAACTGAGGGTTGATGGGGGGTCAGGAGAGAGGGGAAATGGGTTATGATTGAGGAGGGCACTTGTTGGGATAAGCACTGGGTGTTGTATGTAAGCGATGAATCACAGGAATCTAGCCCCAAAACCAAGAGCACACTGTATATACACTGTATGTTAGCCAACTTGACAATAAATTATATTTTTAAAAAATAAAATAAAATAAAATAATAAACTTTTATCCATGGTAAAAAAAAATGATTAAATTCTAATTGTTCAAATCCAGTGTCTACAATATGTTCTGCAACCATTCGAAGGCTATTAAAACTAACCTGTTTATTGATACTACTTTGGACTTCAATGTCCATATGGATCTAATTTAAGCAGGAGTTGTTGGTATTTTGCATGGGCACAGAGTGAGGCAGCAGAGTTGAGAAAAATATATATCACCCTGGGAATTAAGAGATAAAAGTTCTGGTATATTTTCTATTTTTAACTAGATACTTCATCTTAAGGAAGTCAATAGTTATCTGTCTCAGTATCTTTCTCTAAAATGAATAAAAATACTTGATCTACTTAGTTCAGAGGGTTGTGAGTTTTCTTTGTAAAGGTATCTAAAGATACCAATAATATTTCCCTCCCAAACATACCATCTTTTGACAGGCTGCTTTAAACAAATGTGTTTTCTCTCCTTTCTTTTGCAAAAATTATAGGCCTACACATTTCATTTTGAATTTAAATAGAATGATTGTATTCTGAAAAATAAAATAAAATGTTAACTTAATTGTTAATTTCCAAAAGAGAGGGGCGCCTGGGTGCCTCAGTTGGGTAAGCGTCTGACTTGGGCTTAGGTCATGATCTTGTGGTTCGTGGGTTCAAGCCCCATGTTGGGCTCTGTGCTGACAGCTCAGAGCCTGGAGCCTGCTTTGGATTCTGTGTCTCCTTCTCTCTGCCCCTCCCCTCACTTGTGTTCTCTCTCTCTCTCTCAAAAATAAAGAAACATTACAAAAATTTTTTAAAGAAAAAAAAAGAGAGATGCATTATATAGCTTCCCCAAACAAAATAAAACAAACACCTACTGGATGCTTTTATATCTGAGAACCTATTGTTATTTTGTGGAAAACTATGTTCCACTGAACACAATATAAAATATGTTCTTACCATGCACTGTAGGTGAAGGACTTCTTGTAGGCTGAAGAAAGGGGTCACTGGAAGCACTAGATGTGGTCAGAAAAGAACCCAGCAAATCCTGACCTGATGGTTTAGAAGGTGCTCCAAATGGGTCAAAGGTGGCACCTAGAAAAAAAAAAGGAAAAATATGTTTCTTTGTCTTGTGAGTTCATTCATTCAATAAATATTCAAGAGCTGCCACTATTGCCAGGCCTTAGGCCAAATATTTGAAAAACTGGAATGAAGCTTGCATTCTGGGCTGCTCCACAGGCCCATCTTATCCTTAAAACTTCCTCCAGGGCCAACAATGGAACCTAAGGATTTTTGACCTCAGGAAGAATCCCATCTTTGTGGACAAAGGAGGACTGTAGATTTATCCATTGGAAGATCCATCAACACTATAAATGAAGGCTTCTTGGGCCCTCCATAAGTGGCAAAACCATGTTTGGACCAAAGGAGATGCCCAATGAATAAACTGTACTTATATTCAATAAATTAATGGACAAATACCAGGCAGGAGGGGTTTGCTATTAAGGTGAACATTAGAAAACCTCACTGACCAGGCTTTGCTTAGTTTTATGTTTTTAGTGGTCTTTGGCTCGCTTGAAAGTGAAAGAGAGGAGAAATGAGTGTTGCTATGTAACTCAAATGCTGTTCCCAAAACACTGCCTCTCAATAACTTGCTAGAAACTAGATGCAGATTTAGAGAAGTGAGGACAAGTTTGTGAATATACTAAGAAGACCAGAACAAAGCCAGCAGCTGAGATCTCTGGCAACCACACAATAAAACTAATATTGTATCATTTCTTAGGGTTTACATTGCCTTTCATAAAAAATACTTCAGCTGATTCTCAGTCTTTCCCTATCACACAGTAGTATTATCTTCATTCTATAGACAGTGAAACTGAGGTTCAGAAAGCCAAGTCAATCAATATATCCAGCTTCAATTTCATTATCTACAACCTGAGGCACAGATTTAACTAATGTCTCTCAAAGATCCCTTCTAGCTCTGACACCAGAACATAACTATCTTCATGGGACTGTGATGAATTAAATAAAGTCACACAAGGTACATGGTCTTGAAACATGACTGAGTACTATGATAGTCTGGATCTTGCAGATTTTTCTTCCCTGACACCTTTAATTCACTGTGGTGAGTAAGAACTGGATAAAAGGAAGCCAAATATAGAAGAAACAGCCTGGGATTCAGGGCACCAGGATACCACCGTGGCTCCATCAATAACTAATGTAGGAGTTTGAGCCTCAGCAACCACATTCCAGGATTTTAAGACTCACTCTTACAAAAAATGCCTCCAACTGAACTACTTACTACAAATCAAGACCACCCAGAGCCTTCTGAGAACTGAAGGATTAGCTTGGGAAAGGAAGTCCCCGCAGATTACCATATGAGTGAAGAGTTGAGACGTTTCTCTTTACTCTTCCTAATATGATGTCATCTTGGTTAATAGTGATATCAGGTAAGAAGGGGCAGCTAAAATGCTTAGCCATCTACTGTGTTTTGCAAATTTCAAAAACTTGCGGACGATTAGTCACAGGAAAGGTCAAGTCTGCAGCAATGAGCAGAGTGAAGCTGAACCACGTGGGCACCAACTGGCAAGGGCTCATCTGCTACAGTCAGCTGTGCGGCTGGCATGAGTCTCTTAAATATACCTTGAGGTAACCAAGTACTCCCTTGCATAACCAAAGTGGATTTAGAAAATTACAGTTCCAGGAAGACATTACAGAAAAACTAAGAGGGAGCTCTCAAGTCAAATGGCCCAGTTTTGGACCCTGGCCTCACCAATGATTAGCCTTATAAATGTATGCTACTAATTTGACCCTAAGCCTCCATTTCCTCAACTATAAATATAGGGATGGGGTGCCTGGTAGCTCAGAGGTTAAGTGTCTGGCTCTTGACTTCAGCTCACATCATGATCTCACAGTTCATGAGTTCAGCTCCACGTTGGGCTCGCAACCGACAGCACAGAACCTGCTTGGGATTCTCTCTCTCTGCCCCTCCCCCAGCTTGTGTGCTCTGTTTCTCTCTCTCAAAATAAATAAATAAACTTTAAAAAATAGGGATAATAAAAGCACCTAACTGCCAGATTTTTATAATAACTGAATCCGTGTTTAGTGTTAAATTCCATGTTTGGCAAATAGTAAGTAGCCCACAAATATTAGCTGTTATTATTAGTAATAATTCATCAATCTACATCTCCAAGAAGAAGTAACTAAAGCAGCTCAGAGATTGAAGCTTTGGAGGAAAACAAACAAACAAACAAAAAAAAAAAACCAAAGAAAGGGCGAAGAGCTCAAATATTCACTCTTACACTGTCCTACCAAAATGGACATTTCCCCATTAACTGAAAACAGAGACCTCTAAGGGACTTTCAGGGAGACCAGAAAAGTCTAGCTTATTAGGAAAGTTCAATTCTACCTGCTTCACCCAAAGGTTCCAATTCAAAATTGAGAGGTTTAGTGTAACATGGAAAAAATTACCTTCTCCCACTCTTAGGGTTGGAGATGCAGAGGTGGAGGGGGCAGAGCGGCGTGGTGTCGACTGGGTAGACGCAGGTCCACTTGGATGAAACATGTCTTCCACCCCTGACTGTCCAGCCTGGGCAGCCCCCGCCGCACCTCCACCTCCAAACAGGTCACTCAGCAGTTCAGAATTAGTGGGAGGAGCCACTGGCGGAGAGAAGTTCTTACTCACTGCAGATCCTTCTAGACCCAGAAGGTCCACATCTTCAGGGGGTGGAGGGGCAGCTGGCTCCTGCTGCTTTTTGCTGGGCTTTTTAGCTCCATGCTGTTTGTCACCACTAGCATTGCCATGTGGACTGGAAAGGGTCAGAAGTTCATCATCCGATTGCTCACTTTCTGGATTCACTAGGGCAGCATGGTCCTCCTCACAGAATGATTTTTCCGATTTCTGATCTAAGGAAGGCCAATATGCCAATAAATAGTTAGTTACTGGCCCCAGCATTACTGATTTTTTTGAGTTAGAGTTGGTACATAACTCTGAAAGAGAGAAGCAGCAGCCCTGAGCAAATAATGCTCTCAGACCCTTACCAATAGAAAACTGCTGGATGTATTTCCCATCATCCAATCACCTTTTGTTGAGCAGCTGAGAGGCAGTATCATGGAGCAGGGAAAAGCAGGAAGTCTGGAGCCAGACAGGCTGGGTTTGAATCCCAGCTCTAATTACTGGCTCTGTGACACTGAGAAAGTTACTTTACTTCTCTGTGCCTTGGTTTCCTCCTCAGCAAAATGGGGGTAACCAACAGTACCTAACTCCAATGGCTATGGTGAGAACTACATGAGATGATAAACAGAAAGTGTTCAGATCAATATAAAGTAGTACCTAAGTGTTTATGATTATGATTATCATCTTCCAGGTGCTCTTCTAGGTGCTTTGAAAAGAAGTCCCATAATTTCTTAATCCTTTGCTGATTCCTCTTTTTTTTTTTTTTTTTTTTTTTCATGTGGCCTGCAGCCAAAAGCAAGGCCTTCCTCCCACAGTCAGGAGTAGAAGCCAACCACACACCTAACCAGTGAATAGCCACAGAGATTCCGCTCAGGATGGTCCCTATACCATCCTGGACGGCGATATATTCAGCATAAAGTGGGCAGCAGGGAAGAGGTCTCTTCTGGGGAAGGGATGGAGAGGCTGATGGGTGACTTTCCAGGCCCTCCTTGAGACAGATCCTTCAAGGAAACTTGGTTATTTAATGTTAGGTAGACCCACATTCTAAATCAAGGGCAGATCCACATCCCTAATTCCCGATTCTGAAATGCAAAAAGCTATGAAAAGGGAAAGGTTTCCCTAAGTCTGGAACAAATTTGGCTGGTGGAAAAATCTGACCAGAACTGATACGTACATATGTATACTCTTCATTTATCTCACCCAAAGTGATTATTTTTACATGTTTCACTGCGGAAACATTAATACGCTCCATTACAAGTTGTCTGAGATGCCGCTGGGGATGCTGGGTAATATACCATTTATATCCCAGATCACCTAAAATTAAAAAACTTTTGCATTCCTGAAATACTTCTGTGAAGTTCAGATAAGGAATTGTGCATTTCTGCTAAAACCTATTTCAGAGCCTACTAACAGGAACGACTTCTAAATTACTACAATGTCAGTGGAGACGAAAAAGTGAAGTTTAATTAAAAGCCCTTATGTGAGGAAGGGAAGATGTAGGGGACTTGTTACTGGGGGAAACTGGGGAGTCGATCTGTTATCTAGATTTCACTGGATTTTCCAATTTTTTTATGTTATTGGTCCCATTTCCCAGGAGGAAATTCCCTGAGCTCTTGAATGTCTACCCCTACCCTGACTCCCACAACTCCCACCTATCACCCTGGCTTCAGCCATCCCTCTGAGTTCCCATTTCCCAGGAGGAAATTCTGAAAGTAAGGCTTTTAATTCAAAGGAATTCTGTGAACTTTTTTTTTCACGAAACATGGAAAATTCCATAGGCAACAGGAATACTGTCTCATGTTCGCACAGTGAAGAAAGGTCAACCAAGAAAACTCTAACCAGAGCATTGTCAAAGCTATTTTCCTACCCCTTTCTTACAGAAAGTCCTTACGATTCAATTCTACATTCAATCTTGGAGTTAACCTCAGCAAACTCTATAGCAAGGAGGCGAATGTGTATGGATAGAATGCCATTGCCAGTCTACTGATGGCAGCAATCTTAAGTGTTATGTTGGAGAGATTCTAAAAACATGTCCAGGTTTGGTGGAAAAGGATACTATTATTGAGACCAATTTTTGCCATGGCTGTTAAAGCATATAGCAGAGACATATGGGCAAAGTATTTGCCTTTTCTGCACCAGGAGAAGCTTAGATCTGCCCTCCTAGTGGCGAGATCCCTCTGGGGGAAATGCCACATTTTATATTTTCAGAATATGTACTCAAGGCAGGAGATAGAGTCTTTTGTTAATTTGTGTGTCAGCAGCATAAAGGGAAATCCTAGAAAATATCATATTGATTCATAAGTCCAGGAAAGATGTAATCCAAAAGACAGCATAGAAAGAAAAGGTAGAATTCAGCTTTAAATGGCCTTTTACATCAGTCTAAGAGTATCCATGAAGTTCAAAGTAGAGAGGTAATTTCAAACTGCCTGATTTGAAAAAAGAATGAGCAGGGAGGGTGTAAAGTAAGGAAGAACAGGGATGACTTCTAAATGCTTCTTTTTTTGAAGCTGCTTTGAGAACAAACCATTTTTACAGAATCACCACATGACTTAAGTATCTAACCACGTAACTTAGAGAAATGCTTAGAAGTACCTTGCCAACAGAGAGAGGAAAAGAAGCCACCTTGCCCAAAATGCCTGGGGTTGTCCGGAGGGATATCTATTGGAGCCTGTCCTGCAAGAGAAAAGGCCATGCAGCATCAATGAAATAGGAAATAAGTCAAAGTGATAATAACACAGAGGCTTTGTCCTGAAAACAAAACCACCAGGTGACTCATACCTCCTAAGACCAGAGTTTCTTGATGCTCCTGGTGAGAAGAGAAGAGGATGCTGGGATTGACATCTTTCGTGCAGTAATGTTCCCATGGTGGGGTTAAGTCTATCACTTTGTCGTGGGGCTGTAGTTCTATATCTAGAGTCACCTGAAATAGCTGAGGATATTTTTCTGGTACATCACATGCGTCCAATTCAGGTCTAAATAGCAATTTAAAAGAAGAAGATCAGTGATAAACAATGGATCCAGTATGATGTTCAGCACAGAAACCATTGTAGGTTGACTCAGGTTAACCCTAAGACTCATTTCTAGGGAAAAATCAATCACTAACCAGATAAGGTACTCTTCTGGCCTCACTAGAGGAAAGGGGGAGAATAGTAAGTACAACTAAAGAATTTGGATATTACTGCATATAAAAACATGTTAGGAAGTAGGGCAATAGATCCAGCCAGTATGCCCAGGCAAGGCTAAATTAGTTGTTAACATAGTGAGATAGTCCCCAGCTACCACCCTGAGCTCTTGAATGTCTACCCCTACCCTGACTCCCACAACTCCCACCTATCACCCTGGCTTCAGCCATCCCTCTGAGTTCCCTAAACCACATTATAATAAAGCAACTAAGGTTCATTCTCTGGTACAGAAGGGTACCCTGCTTTAGTGCTATAGCCTGGCATCCTGTCTCAAGGGTCATTGCTCATATCATACCACTGATTAAACTGCCATCACTGTTGAAAAACACAAAGGGATACACAGATGCAAAGGGTCACAGTATTGATACTTTGTTTCCTCTTTGTTCAGTCTTGTTCTCTCACATGGAATTTTAGACCTTTCTATTTGAAGTCCTTGACCCATTTGCACTCAAGACAAATTATACCCAACTGCAAGCTGTGAAATGCAACCAGGCTCTCTGTGTTGTTAAGCTACACTCAACAGTCCTGCAGCACAGGATTCCAGGGGTTGCTGCAGCACAGAGCAAAGGAACCTTGGGTATTTGGCTTCCAGCATTTCCCAGCTGCTTATATTGAAAACGGATTTCAGTCCAAGTAGCACTCACTTGGTGAACTTTAAAACTGTGGTTTCCAGTGGTATGAATCCAGTATGAAACTGAAGCTGGAATATCTGGGTGTTGGTCACCTACAAATACAGGAGAGAAGCACGTGACAATCAACCAGGGAAAGGGGACTAACTGCATCAAGAAATTATACTTTGGGGAGCCATGCACCTTCAACTGTTTCTACATTGGAGCTTCTGTTTATTATGAACACTAAGTGACCTTCCCATTTGGAAATGGCCCAGCGTCATTTCTAGCCTCTCATCTCCATGAACTCTGCTTTGGCAAGCCATTGCCTCTTCCACTAATGTCCCATGTTCTTGCATACTGCCATACTTTGGCTCATTCCATTCCTTCTCTTCAGGATGCCCCTGCTGCAACCTAATGAACTCATCCTTCAATGGCCACCTTGAAAGTTCATATCCTCTCTGTAGCCACCAATGACTAAAGCAGACCACTCCCATTATAGTATCTCATCCTACCTCTACTATGTGAGTGGATATTCGTACATGTGGTGAATTTCTCCTGCTAGGCTGAGCTCTCTGAGGGCAGGGACAGTCTTAATCTTGTCAATCCTATACCCCTAAGGCAATGGCTGGCACAGAGCATGCACTTGGCAAATATTTGATGAATTAAAATACAATTACTTATAACATTATTCATAATATCCCAAAAGAGGCAATGACCAAAATGCCCATCAACTGATGAAGATATTAATAAAAAGTGATATAGCCACAATGGAATATTATTTGGCCATACAAAGGAATGAAGTACAGATACATGATATGACATGGATGAATTTCAGAAATATTATGCTAAATGAAAAAAACCAGCCACAAAGAACCACATATTGTATGAGATTCCATTTACATGAATGTCCAAAAGAGGCAAACCCTTAGAGACAGGGAGTAGATCAGTGGTTGCCCAGGGGATGGAAGAGGGGAGGGGCAATGGCCGATAATAGGTATAGGGTTTCTTTTGAGGATGATGATGTTCTGGAATGATATGGTGGTGCTGTATAACCTTTTGACAATACTAAACATAACTGTATTGTACACATTGAAAGGGTGAATTTTATGTTATGTGAATGTTATTCTAATAAAACATTGAAAAACTATAATTACTTAATCCTACATCCTTAATAGAAATATCTCCTCTCACACTGATCCAAATGGGACACTATAAAAAAGGGCATGAGCTTCTAAAGCTCAAGGTTTGGTACAAGTTCCAGAGCTGTCAGTTTCTGGCAAAGTCATCATGCCAAGGCCTCTGGGCAAATCACATTCTCTCTGAGTCTCGTTCCCTATAAAATGAGGGAAACAGACATAAATAATCTTTAAAGGTTCTTTCTAATTCTAAAACCACAAGTCACTCAAGCCCAAAGTGATACAGAGAATATACTCTAAAATCCTCCTCATATTAAGGGATGCCCGGCTGGTTCAGTCAGTAGAGCATGGAACTCTGTTGTTTTTAACTTCTATTTATTTATTTTGAGAGAGACTGAGTGTGAGCAGGGGAGGGGCAAAGAGAGAGGGAGACAGAGAATCCCAAGCAGGATCGATGCTGTCAGCGCAGAGCCTATCGCAGGGCTCCATCTCATGAACCAAAATCAAGAGTCAGATGCTTAACTGACTGAGCCACCCAGGTGTTTCGAGCATGTAACTCTTGGTCTTGAGGTCATGAGCTCAAACTCCATGCTGGGCTTATGAGCTTATTTTTTTTTTTCTATTTTTTTTTTCAACGTTTATTTATTTTTGGGACAGAGAGAGAGAGAGCATGAACGGGCGAGGGGCAGAGAGAGAGGGAGACACAGAATCGGAAACAGGCTCCAGGCTCTGAGCCTTCAGCTCAGAGCCCGACGCGGGGCTCGAACTCACGGACCGCGAGATCGTGACCTGGCTGAAGTCGGATGCCCAACCGACTGCGCCACCCAGGCGCCCCTTTATGAGCTTATTTTTAAAATAAATAAAATAAAATAAAATAAAATAAAATAAAATAAAATACCCTATTGAAGGCTCAGAAGAGTTTATGCCATGATTCTTCCTGAAACCATACCTTAGCCTGTAGTCGGCTCCCAATGGTTGACCTCAAGTGATACATGGAAACAACCACATCTCCTTGCACAGTGATGCTCAAGGGAATAAAGATTTTTCCATCTTGGACACGGTATTCTCTACAAACAGAGACAAAAATATACACTGAAAGAGTCCAATCTTGTATGATCACATAGGTATAGCCCTCTGTGGCTCAAGCCAAAGGACCTATTGCCCAAGACTGGGCCCAAGAACCATTTCCTATCTTAAGCAGAGTCAGGAGCACAGCCATGGGTGCAAACTGGTTCTGCCATAGGATGGTGTTGGTCTAATGGTAGACCTCCTCCCCTGTCCCATCTGGACTTCAGATAAATTGACTGCCCATCCCTACTCTGCAGATCTCATAATCCTCAAATACACTTAGCCCTGATATACTTGTTGTTTCTTAACTTTAAATTAATAGTAAAAGCAGAGACAGAGGGAACAAAAATGTCCAACCAAGATCAGTATAGAAACTGCAAAGCCATGCTCTGTGAGGGTCTTAGATACCAATTCCCAAATTCAACCTATTCCAAACTAACTTCATTTTATGTCACCATCTACTCCCTTCTCTCCATACCCCCTACCACCTCCTACTGGCACCTGCTTTTTATTTTGGATTCTGTAACTTCTTTCATTATATCACCATCTGCCTAGCTGCTCACCTAGAAACTAAGCATGTAGGTCCTCTGTCCCCACCACTGTCTTAACCCTCATAATTCATGTTAGTCCCTTAGCTTATATTTCCATTTGAGAGGGAGCCATAGCATCCCTTGGTTTACTTATGCTTTTCTAGGATTGAACCTACATAGAACTTTTTTTTTTTTTAATATCCCTTTTCACAATGATGTATTCCTCACAGGAAGAATATAATTCAACCTAGATAAGAAATGAGCAATTCCTAAGAAGTGAAGAAAAGTTCATGACCTACTTCATTCGTTCAAAATCTGCACAGGTCGTATATATTTTGGTTTCTCCAATCAGTACATCACAGTAAGGACGACATCCATTTCTCTGTTTGTTAAAAAAAGGGACTGGACTGACAGTGATGGACTTAATCGTGAGAGGCTTGAAGTGAGGGCGGTAGGGCTTGTCTGCTAGGAGGTCACACATATAGCCCAGGTATCTGAAACAGAAGATTGACATTCTGTGGGTCAGACCAAAGAAGCAATCAATCTTGGCTATGAAGTCTATTCTTGTAAATTACTAACTTATAATAACAATTTACTGTGTTAAATTCTTAAACATTAACTACCAAAAGAGAATGCAACCAACAATTTATGAAAGCTTTTATCTAGTGACATGACTGTATTTCCCCCCCAAAGAACTGGTAAAGGGGTAATTTATTAAATGAAAAAGGCTTATGGGAGCTTTATACTAACTTCACATTGGCATATCTGTTCCTATTTGATCTGCCAGGTTAGGTTTATCAGCTAAAAGTCGGCTTTGGAAAAATTTTAGAATTTATCATCAGAAGCACTTTTAACTCAAAAAAAGTAAGAAGGGGAAATTATATAAGAGAAAAGAAGGGGTGCCTGGGTGACTCAGTCAGTTAAGCGTCTGATTCTTGATTTTGGTTCAGGTCATGATCTCATGGTTCTTGGGATCAAGCCCCACATCAGGCTCTGTGCTGATAGCACAGAGCCTGCTTGGGATTCTCTCTCTCCCTCTTTCTCTGTCCATCCCCCACTCACACTTTCTCTCAAAATAAATAAACATTTTTTAAATAAATAAATAAGAAAAAAGAAGAAACTGCAAGTAACAGAAGTATAATAAGTCAATTACCTAAAAAGGGTTTCCCTTTTCTTAAGGGCACAATACCAGCTAGAAATTGTGCCTACCCTGCATCTAGCTTACTTTACCTCCTGTGGGATGGCGACAGTCCGATTCCGGGTCGCTTTGCATATAACAATCGAACGGCTGGGCCAGGAGTAGAGTAGAGATTACAGAAAATGAACATAGCACCAACCAGAATTGACGATGCTGCCCGTCCATCCTGCCAAGGAAGATATATAAACCTGTCACAAACGTGGCCCAGTCAGCCACTCACCACAGAGAATGGCTGTACTTGCAGTTAAAAGAGGGAAGAGAGAATGGGGAGAATTCTTCTTAACAGAATGATTTTCAGTTCAAAATTATTCACCTGAGGGTGCCTGGGTGGCTCAGTCACTTAGGTGTCGACTCCTGATTTCAGCTCAGGTCATGATCTCGCAGTTCGTGGGATCAAGCCCTGCACTGGGCTCTGCACTGACAACACAGAGCCTCCTTGGGATTCTCTCTCTCTCCCTCACTCTCTCTCAAAATAAATAAATAAACTTAAAGTAAAGTGTGTTCACTTGAAAACCAAACTCTGTCCCAAGCACTTCAAATCACAAAGCAGCAAGGAAGGCTTATTCTTAGGGTAAAACTGACTGTCTACTAACCTAAGAAACCAAGCAACATAAATTTGATCTGCATATATTTATGGGAAAATAGTCTAATCTTCAAAGTAACTTTGGACTCATAGGATCAGAACTAGTAGTTGAGGTCTCTTGGTTGCAAGCCGGAGGTAGAGTTCACAGATTAGGCAAATACTGCTCTTTGGAATATGCTATGTATATATTTTACCCAAAGTATGTTTCTAGATTCATACAAAATAAAGAAGCTTCACATGATTCAACCACATTCAGTGGAGAAATACATGTAACATTCCTAACAGATGGTGGCCCAGGCTCTTCTAGAACACTCTGAGTGACAGGAGGCTTGTTGCTACTTGAAGAAACCAAGCCCAGCCCAGCTTACAAAGCTCTTCTTTATCCTGAATATGTTGAGTTGAAGTCTATTCCACTCAATGATCCTCGTTTTTTCTTCTGTCAGGAAGGAGTAAACCTACTTCTTTCTTCCTGGGGTAGCCTTTCACATATCTGAAATACCCTCCCCTTCCACCAACTCTTTCATTTTACAGGTTAAGGCACACCCAATCTGTGACGGTTAATTTTATGTGTCAACTTGACTGGGCTGAGCGATGCTCAGACAGTTGGTAAAACATTACTTCTAGAATTGTCTAAGAGAGTGTTTCGAAAAGAGATCAGCATTCAGGGTGCCTGGGTGGCTCAATCAGTTAAGTGTCTGACTTTGGCTCGGATCACGATCTTGAGGTTTGTGGGTTCGAGCCCCACACAAGCTCTGTGCTGGCAGTGTGGAGCCTCCGTGGGATTCTCTCTCTCTGCCCTTCCCCTGCTCATTCTCACTCTCTCACTCAAAAATAAAATAAACATTAAAAAAATTTTTTTAAGAGATCAGCGTTTGACTCTGAGTAAAAAAAGATGTACTCTCACCAATGTGCATGGGCATCACCTAATCTGTTGAGGGTCTGAATAGAACCAAAAAGCAGAGAAAGGGTGAATTTTCTATCTTCTTGAACTGAGATGTCTACCTTCTTCCCTGGGACATCAGAGCCCCTGTTCTCAGGCCTTGGACTCAGACTGAATTACATCACCAGCTTTTCTGGTTCTCTAGTTTGCAGACAGCAAACAAATTGTGGGACTTCTCAGCTTCTGTAACTGTGTGAACCAATTCCTATAATAAATGCATTATATATTGGTTCTGTTTCTCTGAAGGACCCCAACTAATATATAATTTCTTTGATTCTTCCTCACTTGATATTCCATTTTAAGAAACATCATTTGGTGAAGTTTCTCTGAACAGACCCATTTTAAAACAACAACCTTAAATGTGCTACCCAGATGTGAAATGTAAAATATGAGGTGCACTCCAACCAACTAGAGAGAAAATACCATCTCCTTTATTCTGGACACTATGCTTTTACTAACATAATCCTAGGCCAAATTAGTTTATATGCAGGCTAAGTCACACCCTAAGCTCTTATTGATTTTCCTATCTACTAAAACCCCTAGTTCTTTTTCAAATGATGTGTTAAGCTAAGAGACAAATACATTTAATCTTTTACAACAAGATCCAGGACTTCACATTTATCCTGTGTTTAATTTCACATTCTTAGTTTCCGTTAAACAACCAACCTGCAAAGGCTTTTAAAATCCAGATTCATTATATGACCCTCCCATTTCTGAGAAATACTGGAAGCTTGATCTTCACATCCTCATCACTGCTTTTAATTAAAAGGGCAACCAAACGCAACCTTCTCCTGGGAAGATACTGATCCATTAATCACCTACCCTTGGAAGCAAGTACGGAGCCACAATCCAACTAGATGTATTATAACCTAGCCCAAATTTCTCTATCTTGATTATAGGAAATTGGGAAATACCTTGCAGGAATACAATAAGCTATCCCTACTAGTCTATTGGTCTTGTAAAAGTTCAGCTGTTTTGATATGCACATTCATAATGAACCAATGAAGACTCCTTTTTCCTAAGAGTTTAAAATCATCTGTGCAAAGATTTATATTAGACTTTTGCCTTAAAGTGCCATCAGGTTCACCAGCCTGTAACTTTCCAGGATAAACCTCCTCCGTATTTTGGAAAAACTCTCCTGTCTTTGTTTGCCTGGCACCTCTTCTTCCTGTTTCCTCATATTACATAAGGAATCCATGATTGCTTTTCCAAGTGCTCTCAGCATTCTGAGACATAATTTAAGTCTAGAGAGTGGATTGTTTTTAAAGTACTGTGAGGCTCCTTTACTATCTCACTACCTATCAGCTCTGTCTTAATGATCATTGTTACTACCGTCCTAGCCTGACATTTGCTCCCCTGACAAAGAAAACAGAATAAAAGAGTTAAGATTATATCATGTGCCTCAAGCATTTGTTATTGTCCTTATTTCAAGGACAGGTTTTTCCTTTTTTTTAAGACATTTTTTCTTAATCTTAATTCTTTTAGATTTAGCCTTCCTGATACTCTTAACTGATCCATGGTTGTTGGATGTGTCCCCCTCCTTTTATCTACCATGCAAATCTTTTCAACAGTTTAATTAGTTTTTTATTAAAAGATAAGTATATGCTTATTATTTTTAATAAAACAGAAATATATATGACAAAAGTAAAAGCTCCCATTTCCAGCTTCAATTCCATTTCCCAAAGACTTGGTGCAGATGTCTGACTCATGCGTACCCTTTTTTAGTGAGCTAGAGAGCAGCAATGGTGTCATAATCCTTTGCTTCTTTTTCTTCTTCATTGGCTTTTTATTCTTCAAGATTGTATCATAAGAACTGGAAGCCTCTTCTCTCTCTTGAGCCATCTTCCCTTACAAAGCTGTCAGACTTTGGCTCTCTGAACTTTTAGAAATTTCTTGCGTGAAGAGAAAATCACCAAAGTGCCTAAAGCTGCTTAGTCCCTGAAAGGAATCTGTTCTGTTGCACAATCTGTTGTGCCTCCGACAGGAAAACCCTTTGGCCGTTCGTGGACACGAAATTTTTCCTTTGTTGCCAAGAGTTTGGGGATGTGAGATGGAAAGAAGAAAATATGTTCTTTCACTTTCCTCCTCTTTTAGCCAACTGGCTCTCAAGAAGGAGGGAGAAGATCATCAAGTAATCACATAGCAAAAAAAAAAAAAAAAACAAAAAAAAAAAAAAAAAACAAAAAAAAAACACCCTGAAGTTTATAGAAGAATGAGTAGGGGTGCCTGGGTGGCTCAGTTGGTTAAGCGTCTGACTTCCGCTCAGGTCATGATCTTGTGATCGGTCTGTTCGAGCCCCGCGTCAGGCTCTGTGCTGACGGCTCAGAGCCTGGAGCCTGTTTCAGATTCTGTGTCTCCGTCTCTCTACGACCCTCCCCCGTTCACATTCTGTCTCTCTCTGTCTCAAAAATAAATAAACATTTAACAAAAAAACTTTTTTTAAATAAAAAAAAAAAAAGAACGAGTAATTCCAGTATTTATGCTCAGATTCCACTTGTGTGTTCACTTGACCATGTATTCAATCATTTATTCAAGCCTCTCAGACCTGGGGTGCAAAGGTAAAGGAGACACAGTTCTTGCCTGTGAGATGCTCACAGTCTAGTAGGAAAACAGGCACACCACCAGATCATGATGATGCAGTATATTAGATGCCACAGAAGACATTCAGATATACAATGGAAATGTCCATACAGTGAAAATACTCAAGAGTCAGAAAGAGTTTTACCAGATGTTGACTTTTAAACAATAGGTAAGAGGCCACCAGAGAAGAGTTGGGGGAAGGGACTCTAAGAAGTCAGTGGTCGGAAAATTCATCAGTCCCACTAGAAATTGCTGTAAAATACAATCAATCTATGTGACTACTTACAAAGGCATAGGGGTCTTCTTAACTTCATTTTCACTCAAAAACAAAAAGATAAATATTCCAATGTGTTTATCAATTTCATTCACACAGAACTCAATGGTATTTTTGCCTGTGTACCCACAGTCCTCGTTTCTACCTCTCTTATAATATTTACCACATTGTAGAGGCCCTGTATTACGTGTATGTATCTGCCTCTCTCACTATTACTCAAGCTTTAAGGCAAGAAGAATAAATTCTTCCCTCATTTTTATATCCCTCACATCCCCTAATTCCTAAGTAGGGATTCAAAAAGCTTATTCAGCTTAAATGTTACCTGTTCACCAGCCTCTATAGAGCCAGCTGTATTTGGCCAAACCAAATCCAACTACCACAAATGACAACAACAAAGGTTACTCACCAAGCAGTGGACAACACAGACGTTTTTGGGATTCTGTAGTAGCCAGTTATACATATTCCGACACACAGCAAAAAGGTTGTGCAGACTGGGGGCCTGCCTAATGGGCCAACTGCATTCTGAGACCTAAGGGAACAGAGCAAAAGGAAATGAATTCCCCAAGTGACTCCTCTCCATACGCAGCTATCACACTAAACAACTTCTGGAATATGATACCACATTCTCTTTTAATATAGCCAGGAAGAGGTGTGAACAGGGTTCAAACACAGAAAGAAGAGTTGTTTAATATAGCAATTTCTTAGTTAAAAGATTCCATTCCAGTAAAGGTATAAAAACAAATTTTGAGGTATATTTTAAATTAAAAATAGACCATTTAAACTACATATTTGGATTTTTTTTAATCCTGTAGGGTTACAATGCATTTAACTTCTATTAAGAATACAATGTTTTGACCTGCCTATTGGATACTTAATTATAGTATTATCTTATAAATCCTGCACTATCCCTAATTTTATTCCAGCTCTCATGAGAACATGAAAAGAGCTGCAGAGTGAGCCAAACTACACTTGCTCAGAGCTCTTATTTCTTTCTGTCTTACTGAAGGAATCCACAACACCATGGGGCAATCTTCAGTATTTTCACTCATCTAACACACGTGTTCATTTAACCCATTACAGAGCATCGGCAATGTTCCTGGAATTTTGTTTGGCTCTGAGCAGTATCACAATCGTACAAGACCGGTATTAACATGATGTCCATTCTGCAGATGAGAAAACAGACTCTCAGAGTCTGTCTTGTCTAGAGTCATGCTGCCAGTCAGGACCAGGAGAGCAACCCAGGTCCTCTGAGTATAAATCATTGCGGGACAAGACTATACTGGTAGAGATTATCAATTGCCTCAAAATACTAGGTATGAGTCCCAAATGATTAGATATTTACTAATTTAGATAACAAAAAATGAGAAGTTTAGACTTGAACAAACTCTGTGACCTCTTTTAACCTTTTTTTTTTTTTTTTTTTTTTTTTTTTTTTTTTTTTTCAAAAATGAGGTGAGTGGCACCTACCTACCCGCCTCATAGGGTGTGGTTAGTACATGAGGATGTATTTCAAGGGCTCAGCCCAGTACCTGACATGCACAAAGTGATTAAGGAATATTAGCTATTATCATCAGTATCAAATCCAGTAACTGCCAGTACAAAGCCCTGAGTTCAGATAAAGCCAGCTATGTTTGAATAAAATGAATAAAATCCCATATGGCAAAAAAGCAGACTGAAGGGCCAGATCATTCAAGGTCCTGTTAGCAGCTGGGAGAATATTTAAGAAGGAGTGACTCTCATCTGTATTTTCCAAAGACCTCTTAAGCCAGTGCAGAGAATGGATGCGGATGACATGCGAGTAGCCGGGGGGAGCAGTCAGGAGGCTGCTGAGGAGCCCAAGTCAGGAATGATGGCGGCTTAGGCTGGTTGCTAATGTAGGGAATTCTGAAAAAAGACTAGATTTTATATGGATGGTGTCATCAGAAAATACTCTGCAACACTACTGGCCTAAACAACAACAACAACAACAACAACAACAACAACAACAACGAATATCTCAAATCCCTAATGTTTAACAGTGGGCAAAGGGAGGCAGGAGCAATCTATTGGTTCACCCTTTTCTGGTAACCAGATAATCGCTAGTCAAGTTTCTCTCTCTGGGGATGCCAAGAAGGCCCATTTTTTTGGTTAATTTGTACCTTTTTCTACAAGATGATTGTAGGGTAATGGCAGGGGTGCTTCCAGGTACTCACTTACCTATACCTTTGGCAATGACAGGTATGGTTTATTAAACAAAGTAGTTGAAATGCTTGACACAGCTACTAAACAATCTAGGGTGACCCACTACTGGGCCTCTGCCAGTTTAAACTCCAGAACAGCTTGCCCCTTCTACCCAACATGAATTAAGACTGTTTCTGGCCCATTCTTTACCACCAAATGGATTCCTTGCTGCTGTGTTCTCAAGGAACAGAAATGATATATTGGTTCAAAAAAAAAAAAAAAAAAAAGAAGAGTTGGTAAGATAAATTCTGCCATCAGGGAAATAACAAAATGTACACTTGTACAAGCTGCTTCTTGTCTGCAATGCTTTTCTTCCCTTAGTAAATTCATATTCATCCTTTAAAACCCAAGTTCAAGTGCTCTTTTGTTACTGACAGTTTCTCTAACACCCAGAGGCAGAAATTAGTTACCTTACTTCTTCGTACCCATGCCCTTGTCCATTTTCATCTATTACAGCTTTTATCAGTAGAGCACCATGGTTAAACCCACAGGCCGGGTTTTCACCTTTGCTTTACCACTTATGATCTGATTAACTGTAGTCAAGTTTCTGATCTCTTGGAGCCCTAATCTCTTGTGTGTAAAGTGAAAATGGACATTACAAGAGTAATGAGAATTAAGTGGAGCAACATAAGCGCAGTAAATGCCAGCGTATTGTCAAACTGTATTCAAATTAATTGTTTACCTCTGTCACCCCCTCTAGACACTAGGCCTCACCAGAAGAGACACCATAACTTACTCGTTTTGTAACCACAGAGTTGTTGTGTTAGTTGAATGGAAGATGCTCAGTATTTGCTGAGTGAACGAATGATTGAAAGAACAAAGGAATGAACCCCATTTGGCAATCGCTTCTCATACTAAGATTTGTCTACAGGTACAATATCTCAAGGAAGGGGCAGATGAATCAAATTAGCTGTTGCTGTAAGTTGGAATCATGGAAAAGTATGGAACAATTGCTTTTCCAGACAGTATTTTTAAACCTTTTAGAAACTGTATGTCAACCATACAAACACTAAATGTCAATATCTGTAATGAGTCTCAGCTAAAAGTTGGCTAAATTGTTCTCAGCACAAAAGGCTAAAAGCTCCAGAATCATTAAATCAATCAAGTAAATAATATTAATTTAAAGTACTCCATAATTACATATTTACTTGATCTATAATTATACACCATTAAGCAAACATACAATTAGAATTTTTTAAAAGCATGTACTCTGTCTAAAAGGGAAAAAAACACTAAAGCATAAACAAAACCAAAAAAAATTTTTAAGGAACTCAATCACTGTAAGCTATTTTTGTGTCTCCCTGGGGTTCACAGGTTCAGGCAATAAGCAGCACAATCCTTGGGCATGTGACACTTCATGATGCCATCTCCAGTCTCTCTAAACACCTCCCAGAGCTGCCAAGCATCAGAAAATGCCATATGGATTACAGGCTGCCATGATACCACCCAGTTGGGAAAGAAGCCAAAACAGCACCACAGCCGGATGCCATTTGATTTTTCTCTCTCCATTGCCACAAGCATGGGCTCATCGATGGCAGAAGCATCCCATCTGCCAAGCACAAGAGCAAAAGGTACTACAGAGAATCAGACTCAAGAGCCATACCACATTTTAAGAATCTACACCATTTTTGGAAAACAGGGGGATTTTAGTCAATCATTTACTGTGGCATTTTAGTATTACTAACATCAATCATAACTACCACTTACCGAATGCTTACTATAGGGTAGACACTGCTATCAAGTTTATTCGTTATGGCAAAACTACAGAAAAGAATTTCTAAGTATTTGCAAGGTAGGTATTCGTATTGTCATCCCCACTTCATACAGGAGAAAATGGTATCTCGGGTGAAGTGAAGAGATTTAACCAGGAAGAGGAACAGCTGAGATGTGAACCTAGGGTAATTTTTAAAGCTTAAAAATGTCATCTCAATAAAAATTACTGATAAGACTCATGTACTTTCTATTATATCACACTGTCTGATGGTGATTATTAACTGCAATTCCACCTCACATTTGTGGGTGGTTATGGCTTCCAGTGATGGCCATATTTTCAGTTTCCTTAAAACTGAAGCATGGTGGCAGAGGGAGAGATGAAGTATAACCTGTAAAGTCACCTCTCACCAACCAGCAAACCACAGCAGAAACAACTGGGAGCTCTGGTGACCTCTGGTGAGCTCTGGAAGGAAAAGGAAAGCAAACAAACAAAAGATGGACTTTAAGTAAGTTGAAATTGATAGCATATTTCCCAAAAATCAATTTGTTCTCAAAAGGGAAGAAATCCTGCAAGATTATGTAGTTTAGAAACAATCAAAATGAAGGAAAAGTCTAAAGGAATCAGCTGGGTTTATTTTTTTATGCTATTAACAGGGCTCCTTCAGCATACTTTTTCTTCCTGGTTGAGAGGAGGAGGAAGGACACTCCAAGTGGTGCTGGAGTGCGATCAGAACATAAGAACTTTAGGACCAGGCAACATGCAGTGGCCATTCACCTGGTTTTCTACTTCTTACCAACAGCAATACCAAGAAATGTGTAAAGCAGTGGTTCCTGATATTCTGAGCAGAGCTCAAAACCTGTGCAGAAAGTGAACCAGTTTACATGCACCTACAGAGTGGATGGGTACAGTGTTTATTTGGGAGATGATGGAAAAGGTTTGGGTATAGACAGTGGTGATGGTTACACAACATTGTGAATGTATTCAATGTCATTGAACTGTACTCTTATAGGTTGTCAAAATGGTTGAGTTTGTGTCATGTATAGTTTACCATCAAAAAAAAAGTGGGGTGCTAGAAGAAATGGTTAAACTCTCCGAAGCCCATCCATGGATCTAAATACACAGGTGGACCCATATTTCTTTAACTCAGATCAAGAATACCTGTTTTAGATAATGCATCTCATTGGTCTCCAGGACTTTACTGTCAACATTGGTAATTTTTATTTCCTCAAGGTGGAAACTGGCTAAGAAAACTAAAAAAACAAACAAACAAACAAACAAACAAACAAAAAACTAATGTTCAATACCTCTTGTGCAGTTCTGAATAGGCACTCTAGCACATTGCTTTGAAAGCAGGGCAATCTGGCATATATTGAGTTGGGGTCTCTGCTAAAAATGGAGACTAAATATGAATCCTATTCTAACATTCCGTTACACATGCAAATCCTAAGAAAGCTGCTATTTGATTATTTCATCCAATTCCTGTCAAACCATGTGGCTTCTAAGCATAAAAGCTAATCAAAATATAGAATGACTCCCCTCAGCAAAGTGAAATCTTCATGGAAACAGCCTGTCTCTGCCACCACCACCGTATTCCA